GAGACTTGTGTGTGTCTAAGCAGACAGTGCCTAAGCCCCTTTTGGATTATGGGGGCTCCATTCGCCACCGCTCTTTGAGCCTGGCTATACAGCTAGGTTCTTAACCAGCGAAGAATATGCCCATCCAAGCCATGAGCAGGTAGTTTGTCCAGGAGAATGCTGTGGGAAATGATGTCAAAGGCTTTACTAAATAAAGAGATCTTAAACTGAGAATGTTAAATTTCAGTGGCTGTCTGCTACTTGATATTTTCATTTGGTCCCTTCTGTTCCTTGGTGAAAAGGAGGCTGAGGGGAGATCTTACTGCTCTCTACAGCTACCTGAAAGGAGGTTGTAGTCAGATGGGTGTCGATCTCTTCTCCCATGTAAGAAGTGATAGGACAAGAGGAAACAGCCTCAAGTTGCTCCAGAGGAGGTTTAGATTGAATATTAGGAAGATTTTTTTTCACCAAAAGGGTTTTTAAGCACTGGAGCTGGCTGCCAAGGTAAGTGGTTGAGTCACCATCCCTGGAGGAATTTAAAAGATTTGTTTATGTGACAATTAGGGGTGTGGGTTAGTGGGACTTGACAGTGTTAGGTTTACAGTTGGACTCCATGATCTTCAATGTCCTTTCCAACCTAAATGATTCTTTGATTCTCTGATTTTATATGTATGGGAAGTAACGAATAATATTTTCCTAGTCTCTACATCTTTGACAGAGGAGATTTTAGAGAATTATTGAATAGTCCTCCCCTTCACTCCTATCTTTCCCCAGGTGATTATCTGTTCAGTTATTCCATATCTCTGACAGTGTTTTCTGCTCTTCTGTATACTTTCTTCGGATCCTAAAGTGATTTTTTGGGATAGACAGACCAGCCCTGTACCCAGTATTCAAGATACGGGGTTCTTCACTGAGATATTTAGAGAAATACTAATATTTTATAGATTATTCTGTATTCATCTAATTATAAATCCTAGTAGTCTGTGTACCTTTTTTACTTGTTTGCAACTTATATCCAATTTATGTTCAAGCTTTCAGAATATATGTCCACTAAATTTTTTTTTCTGAGTTATTTCAAGACTGACATGCAGGTGGGGTTGTTTCCCAAATGCACGTTATTTCAAATTTAACAGTATTGAATTTCACCTGCCTTTTTGGATGGTTAGCCCATATTAAGAAATTTTTCTGCACCTCTTCCCAATCAGTTTTATTATGATGAGTATTTTTGTGTCATCAGTAAGTATTTTCAAGTCAGTATTCAATTTGTGGGATTTTCTTGGTCTCCCACCAGTATTAGTAGCCTTTTTCTCTTCCATTTGATCAGTTATTAAACAATTGGAAGACCTTTTGCCTTGTGACAGCTTAATTTGTTTAGAAGTCCTTCAAGAAAGCCATCATCAAAAGCTTTTGTAGGGATACAAATGTACTGTCTCAATTGGACAGCCTTTTCCTCATCGTCCCTGCCAAAATTCTGATAGAGTTCTCATGTCATTCTATAAAATAACTGCCTTGCTTCCTTTTACTCTACTGTATTTACCCATATTGTTATTCTTGCTGTTCCTTATTGTAGTCTCATTATATTTGTCCTTACGAAGTTCTAACTGTATTGATATGCCATACTTTGACAACTTGTACAGTCCTTTGTCTTTTTAACCATTGGCGTATTTTCTACCATCTTACATTGTGCTGTTAGAGGGGCTGATTTCAGCTATACTTCAGTTCCCTCGGAACTTTTAGGTAAATACCACCTAGTCCTGACAATTTGCTACCACTTTATGGATGACTTCTGTAATCTTTTCTACTGACACTTCAATTTGACACAGTTCCTCAGATTTGTCTGCCATAAAGAACAGCTTTGATGTAGGAGCTTTCCTAACATGTTCTGTAGTGAGCAGTGAGGCAATGAATTAGTTTACCATTTCTGCGATAGCCTTGTCTCCTTACATGTTTCTTTTATACATTGATCATCTTCTGGCCTTACAGATTCACAGGCAGTTTGCCTACTCCCGTTCCTCTGCTTCTGCTATGTTTGAAAAAAGATCTATGTACCTGTTCATATCTATTCCAGTGCAATTGTTCAGCACGGTGTTGAATGAAAAGGCATTGTCAAATAATGAGTATGTTCTCCCCTTCAAGTAAGATGTAAAGAGCTCATAATAAACAAGCCATACATCTCTTGCTGCTTCTCCAAGCAAAAATTAGAGTGACATATGTTCCTGAAAGTTTTTCTTTCAACAAAGCAGGAAAAAAAATCTTAAATAACAATATTTTCCTCGTGCATTGTAAAGGAAAAAAAAAAGGAAAAAAAAAGAAAATGCACAAGCACAGTTTTAAAATTTGCTTTTGACTTAGTTTCTTTCTTGATTAAAGAGGAGTACCCCCTTGACTGTCATGATCTGCCAGAACTGCAATCGTTAGGGTCTACAGTTTGTGCATGGTTTTTGTGGTTGTGTCTTCAAATTTTGATTTAGATATTTAAGCAGCAATTTTTAGTTGATTGTCCATGCAGTCTTAGTATTTTTCTGTCTATTTAAATGTTTTAAGGAAACATGCACAGTTATGCACAGATTGTGGCCATTTCTTTTTAGAACTCTGATTCTAGAAGTTCAGAAGGTAAAGACTGTAACCAGCTCTGTGTTTCTGCTTAAACGTCAGCTCAGTCTCAAATGGACTTTACAACAAAGAATGTCATTCTAGTAGTTCCAGACAGCTGTCTAAAGCTCTTTAGACACACTGCCAGCATGAGGAATGACTACTCGAGGAAATTTAATACAAGAATAGTCAGTTTGAGGTATTTCTGGAAGAAACACTGAGATTCAGGAACAGTGCACAAGTTTTCTTTTCACATGTGACAATTCTGTAAAAGTTATTGGTCATCTTTTAACATCACTCTGCCACATGGAAATACACACAGGGAATGAACTATCTTCAAGTGCCAAGTTAGCACTAGCGCCTGCCCCATTTGTGTGCCAGCATCCTCATTCTGCTCCCCACACTATGTTTTCTGTGCATACATTTTCTGTAGAAATTCTTTATATGGATTTATATGAACCTCATAGGTCCAATTTCTTCGCTATTTTGCATGTAGAAATCCTGCTGAGCTCTGAGCAAGTCCATGAGTAGAGTGCTTGTACCGTTTGGACACTGTTGTAGGTAGAGCTCTGCTTCGTGATGTCTTTGAGAGAGTTTATCCTAATGCATATTCTCTCTTATATTTGAAAAGAAGTCTGCTTTAAAGAACTTCAAGTTCCATAGAGAGATCTTGAAATACAGTACCTTGAAATGGCTTTTGTAATATGTCAAAAAAGAAAGGCTTCCCTCCACCCCCTGCATTATCATACATTAGCTTCTGAAGTGAATTAAAGAGTAGGGAATGCATTGTCAGAGTCTGGCTGTAAAGTTAGATTTATAGAATTCTCTACAGACGTTGGATTTATGGACACTCAGTTTTACTCCCCCTTTCTGTTGGATTTTTTACACCGATGTTTCCTCTGGTGTATTTTTCTTTTGTGCTATGCACTTTAAATATACATAAAGAGAAATCATTGTGATAAAGAGATCCATAGCTGTTCAAGGATGTTTTATTTATTTCCAAAAGAAGATAATTTTCTAACCTTTTCCTTCATCTCTGTCCTTCTGGAGGTTGGTGCCTTGGAACAGGCAATGCTGGATGCTTTAGTGATGGACCGTGTGGATTTTGTGAAACTGTTAATAGAGCATGGAGTGAACATGCACCGTTTTCTCACCATATCTCGTTTGGAAGAACTCTATAATACAGTGAGTATTTGAAATCCCAGTGTACAACTTTACATAAGAATGCCTAGAAAGAATACTATTTTGCTTAAGAGATTTGATAATTAGGCCACATTTTTATGAAGTTTTTTTGAAAAAAATTGAAAATTAACAAGTTTTGTTATTGTAATGTTGGATTTTTGGATTGGTCCCAGCTTTTTATTTTCAATTCATTGACATGAAACAGACTGAGTACTCATCTGAAGCTCGTGAGAAATATGTTCTGATTTTAATCTGGTGTGTAATACATGCTTATCTTGCCGAAAATGATATGTTGCTTAAACAAGGTGGTACCAACTTCTTTCTTGAGTATGTCAAGATTTAAGATAGAGGTGTTGCAGATTGGTGTTGAAATGTTTTTGAAGAGGTTTGAGTGGGGAAGAGTTTGAATCACAGTAGCTTATCCCAAGGATCTTTTAGCTGCTTTCTTTTACTGTATTGATTTTCTAATGTAGAGTGACGTGTTTGTTTACTGTCTTGTCTTTTCACACCACAGAAACAAGGACCATCAAATCTACTTTTGCATCACCTAGTTCGAGATGTGAAACAGGTAATAGACGTAGAAAGGGCTGGGGAGCAAAAGGGTAGCTTAGAACTTCAGTGTCCACTGGCACACTGCGATTAGGTAATACGGGGGAATTTTAGGAATAGAAGTGATGGATTCATTACTACAGTCCTATATCTACTAGTTTTATCTTCATCTCACTGATCCTCCTAAGCAATTAACTAGCATGCTACTACTGAATGCTCCCAAGGGTCCTGTACCTTAATTTCAAAGCCAAGCAGTTTGTCTACATCAGACTCTCTTTCTTGAGTTACTAAAGTGTTTGTACAAAAGACCTAGTGAATTAGTGCAGTAATTATGCTCATTACTTTAAGGTGTTCTTTTTTTCCCCCCAAGCTAAAAAAGTCTTTCCTTGTTGAGCAATAACAGAAAGATACTGTGACAAGCTATAATATTATTTCAATGTGCTGCATTGCCTAGGAGAACAGAAGGTGGCAGTGGATGACTACTGCATGGAGCACTGGCTCCATTACTAGTTTAGTGGCAGCCTTGTTATTTAGCTACACAGTTGATTTATTATGTGTTTCTGTTATCTGTTGTACCTCACAGCACTGCTTAGCCAGGAAGGGGTGAGCTGTTCTTTCTGCACCTAGTCTTCACTGCAGGACATGCCTAGATCCAAAACTGGATTAATTGGCGATTTCTTTCCAGGGTATGAATGCTAAGATAAAATAAAATGGGAAGTTTTACTGTTTGCAGAGTTCTGTAGTCTCAAATAGTGGGATTTCTGGTGTGATTTTCTTATTGTGGGTGACTTTCATGTCAATCCCGTGGATGGTTCTGTAGATAGGTATAGGGTATTCTGGTCTCCGTACCAAGCTATTTTCTATGTTTTCCCATATGGATGGACATATTTGAGTTCTAATTTATGTGATAAATCTGGAAGAGCTTAGTGTTGAAGATACATTGAACTTTTCCAGGCTGAGAAATCTGTCTTTCTCACTGATACTGAAGTGATTTGCTCCTTTATATGACCCCTCTCCTAAAAACCATGGCCTGGTTACATCTCAGGTCACTCCGGGAAAACTCAGGGTGTGATCTAAAGGGAAGCTTTTGGCACTTGCAGTGGAATAGTGGAATTTAGGTAGAAAATGGGTGCACAATTTCAAAATTTTCTGTGCTGTTGGGTAAGCTAAACTCATTTGGGACTGGCAAACAGATCTAAATGCTGAAAAGCCTTTTTCACCTGAGCTTCTGTAAGTATGCGTAAGTGCTCTGTGAATGAGTTGTGCAGTTGCAGTCTTACTAAATGTGGTAACGAAGTAGCTAGGACAGTCACCAGAGTGATGTAACCATGAATTTCAGAGTATTTTCTCCATTAGTGTGACCAGCTTTGCTCCTTCTACATTTTAATGGAGATACATTGCAGCCTGCCCTGGTAGCATAAAGTGCTTTTTAGTGCAGAGAAGTGTCTACAAATATAGGTAGTCAGAAATACTTGCCTAACTCTCTGGCAAGCTCTGTCTTATGACATGTGGTTTTGCCCCAGAGTGCCCAGCATGTTGGTGCTTTCTGTTCCATGGAGCTGTGTGGCCTTAGCTGGCTGTACTGATGCTTGCCACTAAATTCTATTAAAAAACCCACTTAGTCTAATGAAGAAAATTACTTTTCACAGTCTGAAAGGCATGGACCACTAGCAATACATATTACCTCTGATCCCATCTATGTACAGGCCCATATTTCACTTCCAAGAGTTGTGGTTTAAGATTTTACCAATAATCTCTAAAATCTGCATGGAAGGTAATCATTCTTCAGAGAATTTGTCACAAACCTTGTGTCTTGGAAGTACAGTGGAGGTAAACTGGGAAGCAGTGGTGCATTAAACAGAAGTAGTGAGAAACTTGGAAGGTACAGCTAATGCACGTGCAGCTGCTGTCCTAGTTGTCATGACAGTCTTGAGCCTCTGCAAGAGATTACCAGTCTCCAGGTATTATTCTACAACATTAAATACATGCTTCATCCATTTCTTCATTTTTAAGTAATGAACTAGTTTAATGTGCAAGTCATACCATACTAGTTTTCTCTTGTTCTGAGAAGATTTTTGTTAGTCTCTGTGGCTGTTGGTTAACTTGAAGAACCACTGCCCTCACTGTTGAATGCAGTTAGTCTTGTGAAAATTGCAGTATACATCTCTATGTGATGTGCGTGCAGCAGACTGTAGATGTCACACTTTTCAGGCTGAAAATGTGGATGTGCCTGCATTCTCCCTCCTAGGCGAGTCTCAAATACCGAATGAACGTGTACACTTTCCTGACAGATGCAAGAGTGCTCGGTTGCACCTTCTTCCCGACTCCCCTTATAGTAGTAGGGTTCTGACATGGTTGAGTATTGCATATAATAGCATCATGAAACGCTTGTGACATTTGGTGTTTCAGAATACCCTTTCCTTGGATTACAAGATATCACTGATTGATATTGGGCTGGTCATAGAGTACCTCCTTGGTGGAGCTTATCGGAGCAGCTACACAAGGAAGCATTTCCGAGTTCTCTACAATGATCTCTACAGAAAACACAAGGTAATTTCTGTGAAATGGCTACCTCTGGTCACCAAGAAAAGCTAAAATGTGACACCTGAAAATAGCTCAGATGATTGTCATTGTGGTTTGTCTGAAGAGCATCAGTTAAATGTATGCCATGCTTGTCTGTTTTATGAATGTCTTTGCCAACTGTGGAGAGGTTGTAAATAAAACAGACAAATGCCTCCCCAGACTACTTCCTCCCACCCAAGACCACCAGTGATTGTTAAATTAACTATTAATTCAGTAACTTTACCTTTGTGTCTTGTAGCTGGGTTGTGTTCTTTGTCTGTCATCCATCAATAAAGATCAACAAGGCTGTACCAACCCTCATTTTCCCTTTCGCAAACCAGTCGTATGTTTCTGTTCTTGCAACTTAACAGCCATGTCACAGAAATACTGAATTCAACAGGCATTGAACTAGACTTAGAGCATGTCAGAATGGCGTACTGAAGAGCAACATGAAGATCACTGACCCAAGTTTTGGGCAAATGTCTCACTTTTTAGAAGCAGCTCAGTGCTAGTGTTGCATCTTCCTACCCAGGCCAATAAGCTGTGTTTGCCTGGCAGAGCTTCTTCCATAATACACTGGTAATCACAGGGGAAGTCTCATTCCGTATAAACCAGGCTGCACCCATGGTGCAGTGGCTTTCTGCAGGCAGAGGGTTGTGCTTGGACACATGCACTGTTCTGTACCTTCCAGACACTTAAGGTGTTTCACTATATGGCATAGCATTGTACCATATCTGCGTATAGAATCATACTATCATTTAGGCTGGAAAAGACCTTGAAGATCAAAGTCCAACCATTAACCTAGCACTGCCAAGTCCACCACTAAACCATGTCCCTGAGCACCCCACCTACCCATCTTTTAAGTACCTCCAGGAATGATGACTCAACCACTCAATGGTGGTCAGCTGGTTCCAATGCTTAGAAACCCTTCAGGTGAAAAAATTTTTCCTAATATCCAATCTAAACCTCTCCTAGTGCAACTTGAGGCCATTTCCTCTTGTCCTATCGCTTGTTACTTGACAGAAGAGACCAACCTCCACCTCCTACAACCTCCTTTCAGGTAGTTGTAGAGAGCGACAAGATCTCCCCTGAGCCTCCTTTTCTCCAGTGGCTAAACAACCCCAGTTGCCTCAGCCACTCCTCATAAGACTTGTTCTCTAGGTCCTTCACCAGCTTTGCTGCTCTTCTTTGGACACACTCCAGCACCTCAATGTCCTTCTTGTAGTGAGGGGCTCAAAACTGAACACAATATTCCAGGTGCGGCTTCATCTGTGCTGAGTACAGGGGGATGATCACTTCACTTGCCCTATTTCTGCTAGAAGCCAGGATGCTGTTGGCCTTCTTGGCCACCTGGGCACACTACTGGCTCATATTCATCTGGCTGTCGACCAACACACCCATGTCCTTTTCTGCTGCTCAGCTTTCCAGCCACTCGTCCCCAAGCCTGTAACGTTGCATGGGGTTGTTGTGACCCACGTGCAAGACCCAACACTTGGCCTTATTGAACCTCACACTGTTGGCTTTGGCCCATTGATCCAGCCTGTCCAGATCCCTCTATAGAGCCTTCCTTCCCTTAAGCAGATCAACATTCCCACCCAACTTGGTGTTGTCTGCAAACTTACTAAGGGTGCACTCAACCCCCTCGTGCAGATCATTGATAAAGATATTAAACAGAACTGGCCCCAGTACTGAGTGCTGGGAAACACCACTGGTGACTGTCCACCAACTGGATTTAACTCCGTTTATCACCAATCTTTGGGCCTGGCCATCCAGCCTATTTTTTCCCCAGCAAAGTGTGTGCCTGTCCAAGCCATGAGCCGCCAGTAGCAGTAGCATCACCTGTACGAACAAACAAACTGCCTCAGAACAACAGTGTGCAAACATAGTAGCACTTCCAGTTTCCCCATTGACTTTCCAAAACAAGTAACTTGAAAACAACCTAAACTTCTCAAGAAATTAGGCAAATATCATTCCCAACATCACAGAAGGAACAGATTTACTGCATAAGAATTCTCCCTGGTTTTCAGAGGAGAACTGGACTTTTATTAAAGCACTTCCATATATTAAAAAACAATTGACAAAAACCTCTCATCCCCTTGTACTGCTTTCATGACTAATAGAAGAACCTCAGGGTAATCAGGCAAAATAAGAAGAAATATTGAAAACTGTTACATAGAGTGAATAGAAACACAGAGACAGAGCTTCTTGTGTATCACTGGCCTAATACAATGCTTAGGAAGGGTTATTTGAGCAGTTGTAACACTCTTCACTGTGTCCTCATAAGTATGACTGTAACAGGGATCCGTGAAACCGTATGATTGTATATCTAGGAACTGCAGGGAGGAGCATTAGTGATTCAGCTGTAACATTCTTCCCTCTTAGTCAACACTGAACATAATGCCCAGGGGTGCTAGACATGCTGTCCTTTGGAGGAAATGGTCAGCAAAAAGTTCAGAAAACTTCTGTCCTTATGGCACTTTTTATAAGTGTAGGCACTCAGAAGAGCTTCCAGGTTAAGTGACTGCAATTTGGTGCAAGCCCTGTTGTTGTTGTAATTGGTAGATCCTATTGGGGAAATCACTATTTTGAATTTAGAGATTCAGAAAAATATATATTTTTTAAAATGAGATGTGAAACATGCTATTTTTTCCTTGATGCTATAAGCTCCAGTGATAGTTATAGCAATTGCTGACTCACTAGTCTTTGAATAACATGTTTCTACAGGCACCATTGCAATCAGAGATAAGTATAGGCAAACTTCATCTCTAATTTGCGTTTCTCTCCTTGTGTTTTATGGTATGCCTTTGGATCTAGAGAGTGCTCTCCAGCTTTTCTCAGAGCCTGTCTCACTCCCTTCAACAGAGTAATCAGACAGGTAGCAGAATGGGGTCTGCTGAAAGTACTTTGCATTCTCAGTTCTTCAGAACAGCACAGCCTTACAAATACAAGGTAATATAATTGCTTATTCTAGACTTTGCTTAGGACATATTAGGCTGCTAATAATTTTATTGAGAGGTTTTAGACATATATTGGTCAGGCTGTTAGTTATCATAATTCTACTTAAATTCCAGTGGAAGCAATGTTTTACTGCTCACTGTTCATGAAGTACAAGTCTTGCAATTTTAATGTTGAAATCAAGTTCAGACTCCTTCTGTGATACTTTTTAACTGCCATCCATTTGTTGCTAAGGGCTTTTGTTCACTGAAATGTAGTATCACCAAATTTCTGAACATTAAGCATAGGCGAAAACTCTTCTTATTTGGGTGCAACAGTAGGAATTCTCTAACTTTCCTGATGTTTTCTCATGATTGCTTATTAAAGTGCTACATTGAGCCTGCTAAGAAGAGATAGAGTTCTGGTGTCTGGAAGATGATGACAGAGTATTTGCTTTCAAAGAAAGAAAGATAAAAGAGCAAAGATTGCCACATTCATATATCTGACAGACAAAACATAAAGTAGAATGAATTTAAATGGCCTTATTGGAATTAGTCTGAGCCAAAATGAACCCATTGTAGTGCTGAGACAGCCTCACAGCAGTAACACTTTTTCTTTGCCTTTAATGGAGCAATAACCAGACATGAATGTGTGGCAAGTTTACATTACAAGTGTGGCAGACAGTGAAAATAATCTTTAAGTGTCACAGGTCCATGGTGTATGTTTCAGTGTCCTGATTACCTTTTCTTGTGTCCTGACACAAGTACAAGAAAAGAGTGAAAGTAAGATCTTGGTATCACAAGGTTTGGAGACTGCCCAACACTATGGAAAGGGAGGCTATAAATGGCATGGGTACAGAGCAAGAAGTGGTTTTCCTCCATTAATGTTACCAACTTCTTAGCATTGGTAATCTGAATGTGATCCTAGCTGTGGTTTGTGACTTAAATGTATATAATGATCAAATAGTTTGCAACTTGCAATTCAGATTTGTATGCGGTTTTATTTACATGAAACTGAACCTCAACCATTCATTGATATTTTCTTTTTTTTTTTTTTTGAAAAACAAATATATAGGAAAGATCCGCTGCTTTCCATAAGTGTAAGAAGAAATCAAAAGAGGATATAAACTTTGCAGAGAACTATGAGTCATCTGGCTTTATCTACCCCTATAACGACCTCCTGGTTTGGGCAGTATTAATGAAAAGGCAGAAGATGGCAATGTTCTTCTGGCAGCACGGAGAGGAAGCCATGGTCAAAGCTGTTGTGGCTTGTAAACTCTACAGAGCGATGGCACATGAAGCTAAACAGAGCGACATGGTGGACGACACTTCAGAAGAACTCAAGAAGTACTCAAAGTATGAGTTCTCCCTTCACTTCACTTAATAAAGTGTTCTCCCTTCACTTCACTTAATAAAGTTCTGCAGTGCTTAGAATGGTCAGATATTTTCCTAATCCATTAAGAGTTTGTAAGGTTAGTGGTGCATGCACTATAGAGTGTGAAAGAAATACTTTCAGCTGCCCACTCTTCGTATTATATAATGGAGCTATGTGTTGGTGTGCAGTCTGGTCAAGAGTTATGGGAAAGCTATTAGTGTGTTATCTAGTTGCGTATTTGAAAATTAAAATATAGGTGAGTACTGCATGGCTCCCTGTCGGCTAAATGGTCAAGCGGAAGATGGAAATTTCCCTTACAGTTTCCTTTCAAGCTCAACTTGTTAAAAAGCCATATGGCACGTATGTGTTGGATTTTTGAAATCTGTAACGTGGTAATAAACAAACTAAAATCAGTGCTTAAATCCTGCTCTGTGTAAGACCTAAAGAAAAAAGTATACTGAAGTAACTGAGTGAATAAAAAACTAAGCAGACCAAGAATTTTCTTGTGGTTTGTAGTTTCATGTTAGTGTTTTCTGGTAGTTTTTCTTGTTAATGACATGTTGTATGCTTTGTAGACATGATGCCTCAGATTCAGAGTACAATAAGATGTGCTGTCTTGTTTTGCATGTGGCTCCCAAGCTTAATTTAAAGGAGGGTGTGTTTTCCTTGAGGAGTCTTCCCTATGGAGATGTTTAAGAGTGAGTGTAAAAGAAAGGGCTTTTGCAACTGCCTGCAATGCTTACCCACAGTGGTGATGAGTCTGTTGTTGAAGGAAGTACACAGAACTTCGTGGGGTCCATTTTGATCGCTGGGTGAGATTAAGAACAAAACGAATGAAAAAAAAAACAGAAAACAAGATGACCCTAAACCTTGTGATTAGGACTAAATAGTTTGATTTACTCCCCAGATTATTTTTCACTAGATATATTGATAAAGCAATGGGAAAAGTAGGAGAAAGTGTACTTACTGAGATTGTTAGCTGAACTGTAGTTAATGGAGTTTTCAAACCAACCTCTTTGCAGCAGCGTTTCTGAGTTTTGACTGATCCCTGTTATATTAACTGTTAATTCCTTTCTGCTCTAGGGAATTTGGGCAGCTTGCCTTAGATGTGCTGGAGAAAGCATTCAAACAAAATGAGCAGATGGCCATGAAGCTGCTGACCTATGAACTGAAAAACTGGAGCAACTCAACTTGCTTAAAACTAGCAGTGTCTGTGGGGCTGCGGCCTTTTGTATCCCACACCTGCACACAGATGCTGCTGACCGATATGTGGATGGGACGCCTGAAGATGCGGAAGAACTCCTGGTTTAAGGTAACATCACTCTGGCTTTTTCTGAGCATTTAGATGCTGTTTAGATGTTTTATACATGCTTTGTGGTTATGAATGTGTCTAATGCAGCTTCAAACATATGTGCTTAAGCATGGATTGGAATGTGCACATCTGGGAGAGAAAAGAAAGGTGGGGAGAGAAGACAGTACTTGCTTCTGTTTTACTTCTTTGCAAAAGCAGCCGTGGGATGACTTAGAAGGATGCATTTTGTAAGGGTTTTTTTGCAGTTCCCATTCTCTTAGCACCCTTCAGTCCCTCCTCACCTGCTCTTGCTGCCCCATGTTGCCGGTTCTCCATCAGAGCTGCTGATGGGAGGAATGCCCTCCAGACATAGGAGGCAGTATCTAAAGTATCCCCAGATACCACGACACTCTTCAAAGCCATGAAACAGTCAAGAGCAACACACTTCTTCAGAGGCTGTAGGAATGTGATAGGGATTATCTGCACCAGTGGCCCCCTCCCAGGCCTGTGGAATTACAGTGCTGGCACCATCCATGGTTGACTATGGCCTCAGGTCTATGCTATCACTGCTGAATTAATTTCCTGAATCTTGTGTCTGTCTTTTAGGTCATTATGAGTATTCTCCTGCCTCCCACCATCTTGATGCTGGAGTTCAAAAGCAAGGCAGAAATGTCTCATGTGCCTCAGTCTCAAGACTTCCACCAGTTCACATGGTATCATGGGGATCAGAGCCCAATCGGCTCTAAAGATGCCTTGTCTCTGGTTAGTCTGCGATTCTAAGTCATTTGTGTGTCAGGGTCTGTCTGTTTACCACAGTATAATCCTGAGGAGTGAGGAGAAGGTGATCAGCTGAAAGTGTCGGGGTCCAGTTCTCAAGAAGGAGGGGTTTGATCCCTGGTTTGGATACAGGCTGAAGTGACCTTGCGTAAGTCACTTCATCTGTCCTGCGTGTCAACTCTGTACTGGTTGTATGAGAAAATCCTTCCCAACCTGAGAGAAGGATAATGAGATTATAAGTATCAGTCTGTTACCCAGTTATTTTAGGGCACAAAGTCTATTCAAGCTGCAGATAAATACCTATGTAATCTTGTGTACCAAATAATCTAAGAATAACTTCATAGCATACAGAAAATCACATCCCTAAAGCTCTCAATTCAGGTTGCCCTGTTGAGCTGTCCAAAGCAGGATAACAGCAGAACTGAGGCAGTCCAGGTCCTATCCTCTCCAGCTCACTCCTTCCTCCTGCTCTGCTTGGCCAGCAGCCTCTGCCCCACATCTCAGCTGCAGCCTCTCCCCTTCTCCATGGCCATCCTTCACTCTCAGTCTCTCCTTGAAGTTTTGTTTGTGAATTATATTACAGCCCTTCCGGAGGTCTAGCTCCTGCCCACGTTGTTGAAAAACAGGGTATCTCTACTTCTGCATCTCATGAGCCTAGCAGAGATGCCATTTAAAGCACAACAGAAGCACTATGTTTTTCGTTTAGTCACCTGAACTGAGTCCTGAAATGCTCTGCAGGCACCTATGGTTGTGCAGAAGTCCTTCTTAGGCCTGTCTGTGGGGAGTCTCCAGCATAGGTGAACTCTTTGCCTTTTAAGATCTGAATTCCCCCAGACTTCATAGAATCATATCATATCATAGAATGGTTTGGTTGTAAGGAATCTTAAAGACCATCCAGTTCCACCCCCCCTGCCATGGGCAGGGATACCTTCCACCAGACCAGGTTGCTTGAAGCCCCGTTCAACCTGTCCTTGAACACCTCCAGGGATGGGGCATCCACAGCTTCTCTAGGCAACCTGTTCCAGTGCCTCAGCACCCTCACCATGAAGAATGTCTTCCTAATATCTAATCTAAATCTTCCCTCTTCCAGTTTAAAGCCATTGCCCCTTGTCCTATCACTCCATGCCCTTGTAAAAAGTCCCTCCCCAGCTTTCTTGTGGGCCCCCTTTTAGGTACTGGAGGGGTGCTATAAGGTCCCCCCAGAGCCTTCTCTTCTCCAGGCTGAAGAACCCCAACTCTCTCAGCCTGTCTTCATAGGAGGTAAGGAGAATACTAAGAAGAGTACTGAGCAGGTAGGCAGGTGCTAAGCAGAATTGCCTGTCCTTTCATTTTTTCATTGTCCACAAAGCATTTCTTGAACTGAAAATTTCCAAAAGTTTTCAGTCTGAGATGGACAGCAGACACAGAGTATTTCCATCCAAAAGCATGGATGTTGGTGAGATGCTAACCAATGAAAACAGGAGTGTCAAGTGAGAGCCGTCAGGCAACCTTTTTTGCTCTGCTCTGCTTATCTTACAGCAGACAAGCTGTTTGGGACCTTCTCAGTTAACTTTCAATTTGTGTGAAACAAAAGAGAGTGGATTGTTGTTGAGGGCTTTCGCAGCAGCATGGTAGGCCTCTCAATGCCATGCTTGTTTTCTCTCTCTGATGCAGAAAAATGCTTGAAGCCATTATCTCCTGCAGTGCCTGTCTAATGTAGTCAGTTCAAAAATGCTTTTTATGGGGTTAGGTAACAGCTATGATACAGAGGACAGGCCAATTGTAATTACTTGTAACAAGACCACCACTGCGGTCTGGTAGAAGGCAGCACAGCAGTGTGTGTAAGCACTTTTCTGACCTGCCTCAGACAGGGCTGCTTCCTTCATGCACTGACAATAAACTGATTTTACCTAATATAAGTTGATTTCATCTAATATACAGTGTTGTTTAAAACAAAAGGCCAAACTACTGCTTTTTCTTGAATACTCTGATATGAAATATTACTGAAAAATGTCCAGAAATTTTCAACAGTGTACATGTGCCACAGAGCATCTTTCACACACAGTCCTAAAATTCCAGTGACCTGCTGCAGCTGGAAATTGCAGTCTTTCATGGGACAAGTTCTCTCCTTCATCTTGGAGGATCTGATGTTAACATATTGGGGTGATTCTGTGTATCAAATCCTCTGGTTTAGCACTTTTCTGAGTCTAATGTGATGAAAAAAATTCAGTTTTCCCCTGATGACGCAAGGAAATCTTGTGTAGTAAGGATAAATATATCACATAAAAAGTGCTACACTGCAGATGTCTAGTAGCGGTGAGTTTTAGCATTGGTATTAGTCAAGGCAATTGGCCAGCATTGAAACAAAACTGAACAAGGTAGTTTGGTTCCTTCAGCCATGCCCAGCTAGTGGCTATTTATAGTTTCCCCAGGCCTCTCTCCTTCATCTCTGAAAACTCCTTTCAGCACCTTCGGGTTTTGTCAGTTGCCCACTGCTGCGTGACTGCAGCTCTTCTTAGGCTTCAGTGGCAATCAGGCATTTGTACTTTCAGAGAGTACTCAGGTAAGTGTCAAACTCTGGATACTGAATCAAGTGTGTTTACCTTTTTGTTTTGTTTTGTTTTATTTGTTTGTTTGTTTGTTTGTTTTGTTTTTATTTTACTGAAGATAATAAAGAAGTAAGTTACCTGTATTTTTGTAGCCGGATCTTTGTAAAAGAGTACTTATTTCATCTTCATTTTCTAATCAGGCATATAGTACATCAAAAATACCAATTAGATTTTGTATTTAGAATTTCACTGTCTTGACATTTTCTGTGCAACTGTATACATGAGCAGAAATGTGGTGCTCATTCCCTTATTTTAGAATGCACCACAGTTGTCGGTGGAGTTCTAGCTAACACAGTTACGTCGTATTGAGAGTTGTTACTTTTCCGTATTTCACGGATGGTGAAAGTGAGACAGAGTCATTAAGTGACTTTGCTTAAAGACTTAAAGAAATGTGTGGCAGAAACAGGAGTGGAGTCAGGTCTGCTGACGCCCAGTCCACTGCCTGTAGTCATAAGAGGAAACTGTAAGTGAGTATTTATAGTGGAAAAGTGTGCTTGTTAATTATTGCAAATGAGATGGTTGTAACCAGACAAAATCAAGCTACCATAATGGTTTGTATATTCAGAACAAATCTTAAACATCTGTGCCTGTCTTCCTTCTAATATGACACAATCTTTGCAATCATAGACCATGGTTTCTTACTTTTAAAATGCTGTTTCCTTTTAAAGAAGGATTATGATGTGGAGAAGGTTGCTCAGAAGTCTGATGAAAGCCAAGTAGACGGTGGACAAGGAAACCTGCCGGGCACTAGAAAAATCTATGAGTTCTACAATGCACCAATTGTCAAGTTCTGGTTTCACACGGTTAGTCATCACACTAGAACTCAGATTGCCAAAACCTTCCTTTGATCCTTCAAATACCACTTGATGCTGCTTTTACTTTGCCTGGCATGTATTTGCAGCCACTTAGTGGTGGGGCTGGATGGGAAGACGTTTGACTATTTCTTTCACAATTAAATGAAAAGTTTTTCTACCAAAATCATGCAGATGCATTAAAAAGATAACAAAAAAAACCCAGAAAAACAATTACAAGGAGCTAAAGAAAACCTGGAGCACAGATTTTTACAGTGGTTAATTGCACGTGTAGAGATAGATTTGAAGCTAGCTTTAAATACCTTAAACATCTCACAGATATTCGTGTCCCTTTCTTTAGGAACTGTTTCTGAAGGAGTGAATGTTAATCTATAGGAAATAATTTTCTGTAGAGAAATATGCATTTATGAAATCAATTTTATTAACTAACCCTGTGTCAGCAGAGCTTAGGATGTTTAAGATCAGGCTGCCTGTTGGGTCAGACCTCCATGTACATCAACGATTAGTCCTTTAACAGGGTGTGGTTAACTGCTTGTTGATCTATTATCTCAGATACATTTATAGTATGTTCTGGTACCTTTAAAATATGTGCTTTCCACCTGATACTGTTCTTCCTGTGCTTTGGAAGGCACTGATAAACCAGCAGTGATTCACGTAGCTTTGAGAATGGTTACTTGCTGCTACAGAAGGTTAGGATAAAAGCATTGTACGGCCTTTACAGTCAAGTAACAGTGTGCAGATAAAATAGTCTCTCTTATATATGGGTCTGGGGCCTAGGTGAACAAGTGCTGCAAAAGTTCCTCTTCTGCTCCCATTTTTTCAGCACTAAAACACCAATTTCCAAATTATGTTTAAGGATATTCCCATAAAAAGTACTTTGGGGGACTGGAAGAAAGATTCTGGGCTCAAAAATCTGACAGTGCCTTAGTAGTTTGAATACATATAGTCAGACTAATCACCTGTTAATATGTTTGCAGAAATTTGGCTTTTGTGCATATGGATTATATACTGTGTGTTTTATAGATGGCGTACATGGCATTTCTCATGCTCTTCACTTACACTGTGTTGGTGAAGATGGAACCAAGACCAAGTGTGCAAGAGTGGCTTGTTATCATTTATATTTTCAGCACTGCTATTGAAAAAGTCAGGGAGGTAAGCTTTTCCGTTCTCACTTCTCATCTATAGAGGGTATATTATAAACCAGAGAATACCGTAAACTGGAGAATGCCAAATCCTGCCTTCTTTTTGTAGAGAATTTAGCAGAGGAGAGAATTACACAGGGCTTTTTTTTCTTTTATATGAAGACCAGTACTTGAGCTTTGGAAATACATCTTAAAAGTTTGTCCTCAAGTCTCTGATTTTATATGTAAAACCAGTGGTAATGTGCAAGTCATTTGAGAGTGAGTGTGCTGAACTGAGGTTTGAGGCCCCTATGTAGGCACCTGTTTCTTAATTGTTTTTGAGTGGACCATTAGATTTCTTATAGTGAATATGGAATTTATTTTTAGATATTTCTTTAGATTATCTTTAGATACTTTGAGTGCGGGCGTTGTTATCAATTAATAGGTGTTTTGTGTAGAATACTCTATGGCTCTCCATCAAGTCTAACTGACCCTCTGTAAACAAAACTGGAAAAAAACCACCATCAGTTTTTAGTGCTGGATTCATTGAGCATGTAAAAATTATATTACAGTCTAAATTAATCATGATTATTTGCAGTTGATTATATTCGAGCTTCTGAACACAACTTACGCTCCAAACCTGAGGCTGGGGACAAATGCAGCTAGGTATTTCCCAAATTGTTGTATCTGATCGGACATACCTTCACTGTAGAATCAGCAAATAGTAAACAATAGTGGTATGCATTGTCTTTTATATGACATTTGAAATGCTGTACTTTTAGAAGAATATAACTACAAAAAAGCAGTTGCAGTTGTGAGTGAAGGATGCTGTTAGATCACTCAGAACCAGTACAAGACATCAGTACAAGAGAGGTGAAGGATTTCAAGGGGCAGCAGAAATGCTGGAAAAGTATTGAAACTTGGGTAAACATACAAGTTCTGTGGCTGCATGAGATAAAACAGAAAAAATCTACACAAGGATTGTATTAATTGAGAAAAAAATTGAACATGAAATAGCAAGTATTTTGGAAATCAGTGTTGTGCTGTTGCATCGTCTTGATGGTGGGACAGTGGAAACATCAGCTCTTCTTTCTAGCATTAACATTGATTGGAGACTTTGAAATTCATGTCATCTACTTGATTTTCTTTGTCCATGTACTAGTTCTAGTCTGCTGGCAAAGACTTTGTAGGACGCTATGTCTTACACGTGCAGCTAATTAACTGCTGAGGGCCTTGTTGTATGTGTAACTGCAAACCTCTGTTTCTCTAGATTGTATCAACTAATTGTTAAAGCCTTAGGCCCTGATCCTGCAACTGGTTCCTCATGTGAGTTAGAGCAGCTGAATAGAGTAGGATCACTTGTTTACATTAATGTGTTCATAAGTGTAAGTTCTTGCAGGATGAGGGCATAAAATTTCAAAATCTCTCCTTTGCTCGCTACTTATCAGTGTGATCTTACATAGCACTGCATAATTGGCCTCATTTGTGCAATGTGCAAAGGTTTTATTTATGGCCTCCCAAAGATTCCACTTCACACATTTGCTCAGTGAAGCTTAAAATCCCTTTGGGGCACCTCACAGTTCAAGGAGTGAACATTTCATTCTTTACCTTGCTAGTTGCCAGCACTCCTTTTTTTAGCATGTCCTTGGTGAAATACAAGGATCTTTCTTTATATTTTCAGTCTGAAATAAAAGGCATTAGTTGTTTTCCCATCAGCAAGGTTAGGTTGGTACTTTCCATTACTTAGGGGCTTTTGAAAGGGCTGTTGCAGGTTGTGACCATTCCTCTAGAAAATGCTCATTAATTTATAATGATACATATGCATAACAGTTCTACACTGGTTGCTCTTTCTGCTGAGGAATGTGCTTTTTAGTGAATGGGTTGAGGCTCAGAATCTATTTTTCCTTAGGAAGAGCTGTCCTATTTGATGTGGAATACTTGAGCAATATAACACTGTAGATTAAGTACAAACCTCAATTTATGGTGAATGGCAATATGCAGTACACGGGCCTGCAAAAAAAATTAAAATAAAGGGAAAAAACGATCCATTCCCAAATATCACGAAACAGTTCAGACAGAACAAGTTAAAGAATGTATCTGTGATTTTAATGGAGTTCCATTGTTGGGTTTTTTTCTACATTCTGCTCAGGTATTTATCTCAGAACCTGGAAAATTCCGCCAAAAAGTGAAGGTTTGGATTTATGAATACTGGAATTTTACTGATTCTATAGCTATCATCCTGTTTATGATTGGTTTTGGCTTACGCTGGTCCAACCCCCCAGTTCAAACTGCAGGGAGGCTACTTTACTGCTTGGATATAATATTTTGGTATGCTCGGCTCCTTGATCTTTTTGCTGTGAATCAGCATGCTGGCCCATACCTGACAATGATTGGGAAAATGGTAAGTATTATGCCTTGGAGCAATGTTTTTGTAGTGAAGGTGTCTACTGAGGAACATGTAAGGGTCAGAAGTGACAGAAAAGAATGATGGTCAAAGGAGAGGTCACCTAATAATTCGTAGTGAATGTATTACCTGTAAATACAATGTCTTTTTCTGTTTGTGAGTTGACCATAGTCAGATTTCAGTTCTCTCTAATTTAGTCATTATTTGAATTTATTCACAAAAACCATTTTTCTTTGCTCCTTAGAGAAGGGTTGCATACGAGTTGAGTTTCTGATACAGCTTGATAATAAGAGAAAGAAAAATCACTGTCCCTTGCAGATGGGCTCACTGCTGTAGATCATTCCCCTAGCTCTTGGAAACTGTCTCATTATTATTTCACATTTTGATTCAAATAATTATATCCTATTTTAGCATGCAAAATTTGTCTAAGATCAAAGTTAATTCTTTTTCTCTTTTGGTTTAAGAACTGCTGCTGAACTGCTGCCTAGTCTTGAGGGACATTTGCAGATTCCCACTGTAATTTCCCTCAGTTATTGGGAACTATCTTATTAATACTTTTATATCCTGTCTTGCATAGTAATTCCAATTCAGTATTAGAAGGCAAAATGATTTTCATTGCTATTCCTTGCTTTCGGTTTGGAAGGAATACCACTGAGAAAAAGCACCGTCATAAGGTCTCTGCATTTTTCAAGTCTTGCTTAAGATCTTAAGAGTGACTTGAGAGGCAAGTAGGACTTGTGGCCTTTTTGTTGCATTGTGACTTTGACCTCTCTAAGATACTTGGGTAGTCCAGGTCATAGAAATAAAATATTTCTATTTCCTCCAGCATATTAGATTGTTAGCCCTGTTTTTGTATTCTGATTTGTAAAAGCAGTGATTGATACTCTTCCCTAAAATGTATGTCTCCTTTACACATAATTAACACAGCTAATTCTTTCGTGTAAACATGTCTTCCAGACAGCAAACATGTTCTATATTGTGGTCATGATGGCCATAGTCCTGTTGAGTTTTGGAGTGTCGCGTAAAGCAATCCTTTCACCAGAGGAGCCTCCTTCTTGGACTTTGGCACGAGATATTGTATTTCAGCCCTACTGGATGATGTTTGGTGAGGTCTATGCTGGAGAAATAGATGGTAGGTAATTTTCACGGTACAGCTGAACAACTTATATTTAGTATGTGCAGAAACATGTTCACTTTGGGCTACTAGAGTTTTGGCTACATATTGAGTCTCTTATTTCTCAAACAATTTTGATTCCAGTATATGTATGTCCTTAATGAGTAATAATGCATGAGTAAAGGTGAGAATATTAATTTCTGTGTTAAAAATAAAGTTTAAGCATTAAAAACTTCAAATTTAGCTTTTGAAATGAAGTATGTTGCAAAGCTGAGAGCAAAGCACATAAGAACTAAAACTAAGCTAGCTCATGGTCAGGGGATCTGGCAGTGAAATGAATTTCCAACTAGGCGAATCCAAAGCTGCTGATCTCTTGGAGAAAAGACTAAAAAGTTACCTTAAAGGAGAAAAGAATAAAGGGAAAAAAAGGAAAAATAAGAAAGAAAAATTATTTTTCCCCATAGTAAGAGTTACCTGGCATCATTCTTAAACAGATAAACCAGTTGAATGTAGGAAAAATAGAACAAATGAATCTAAATAGCAAAAATGTTATACCTTGATTATGGCTTTGACCTTGTCTCAGTAAGAGAGAATAACCAAGCACTCCAGGAGGTATTTCAGCATTACAGATGGAAGGCACTCTCATGCTGCTAGGTGATGGGTACAAGTAAAACAGTCTCTAAAATACGACAGTAGATATGCAAATAGATATAAATATTTAAGATATGTAGCTCAGCATAGACCTGATTCATTAAAATATTTTAAGATGTTGCATCCGTTGTTATTGCTGAAATAGTCACATGATGGTTATGTATTTTGGTTATGTAAGTCAAAATTCCCTTAAGGAAAGCACACAGTTTAATCCATTTAATCACTTATTAATGCAAAACCTTTAGAAAATTGACATTTCCCAAATAAAGCTATGATTTCTCTAATGACTCTTTATGCTGTGGAATATGTCCTGAATTTAGGGCTGCTGCCTTATAAATGTGTTTTAAAATTTCCTCAAAGGTGTAACGTTTAATTAAAAGTTGTAAAGACTGAAAAGTATTTATTTTGACAATTTAGAAATATTAAGAAGGATCCTTTAATTTCTGTGATTTGTTGCTTCACCTCAGAAGTACTCATAGCCATATATCCTTTTGTACATGAGTTAATGTGATCTTACTGAAGATCTAAAGGAGTAACACTCCAGTACTGATAAAGCAGCCTTTTCATTGTATCCTTTCCACAGTAGAGTCAGTGAAAGCCTTACCACTTGCTTTAAGGATCAAAGATATGAATTTCAGTTTACTTTAGTGTGTGCTGTCTCCCAAATACATTTCAGCTGCATCATTTTTTCCCTTAACAAAAAGTCCGGGTGACTGGCATAGGAACTGACATGTATGAAATAGTGTCTATAACTTCTGAATTGCAGTGGAAACTTCGGGGTAGCAGTATCACGACGAGGTCTGAGATCTCCTTTACATGGAGGTAGACCTTTTAGTTGGAAATTTAGTGATGTTTCTCCATGAAAGTAAGAGACTATTCTGTTTTTTGCTGGGGCAAATGAGGAGCACATGCCATTGCTGTTCTTTACTCTGATTTCCATGCTAACCATGCTCTGTATGTCCTTCACTTTCAGTCTGTGAAACCAATGAAGACTGTCCTCCTGGCTCCTTCCTCACGCCCTTCCTCCAAGCTGTCTACCTCTTTGTGCAGTACATCATCATGGTCAACTTGCTTATTGCTTTCTTTAAGTAGGTACCATGGTATAGTGCTGCAAAAGCAAAAGCAACTGATAGATATTCTGCCAACACTTCCGCAAAAGCCTTTCACCAAAAACACCCCAGCAGGGGCATGTTAATGGTGGTTGTTACCCTGTCTTCCATGGGGGTCCAGTGAAGAAAAAAAAATGGTGGAAGCAAGAAGGTGGGAGGAAGGGGATGGTGAGCAGACACCTAAACTGTTTTGCCTTTTAAACAGAATCTGACTCTGTGAAAGTGGACAACTCCAGCTGGCAAACAAGCAACATTAACTCGGCTCTGAAGTAATTTGTCCTTTGTTCCTAAAAGTTGTATTTGTTGTGCTAAGAGCCTATATAGTGTTCGTCACAGGGTAGTCCAAGATTTAAATTGGCAGATAAGTGGAGAAGGTATTCAAGGGAAGAGGATAATGACTTTGTAGGAACATGTTCTTCCTTTAGGAAATAATTTGAAATAATTTGGTGCAATTTCATATGTTCTAGACTGAAGTCTGTCTGCTTTTTAATGTCTGCTGCCAGAGTAGGAAAAGTCTTTATAGTAATTCTATAATCATTCATAATAATTCTATAGTAATTAATCAGTGTCTTTAGAGTAATTCTAACCCTTCAAGTTTTAACAGGCAAACCCTTGTAGTGGATCAAATTCTATAAAATATTAGTAAAGAACAGTCTAACGCAAGTAGTTAATAATTTTTTCCTAGAGTTCTAGTATTTCTGGGGAGAAAAAGTCAGCTGTACGTCAAAAAAATTTCAAATGAAGAAATGTAGTGATTAATATTCAAGAAAACTGAATGATCAAAACTCATTCTATTCCCACTTCCAATTAGAAATCCCTTTCCTGAAATGTGGCAAGGCATCAATTTTTTTTTTTAATACACAGCTGTGAAATTGTAATTTGAATTATTTCTAGATTTAAACCTTCAGCAATGATGGTATGTTAAATTTTCTGCCTAGTGATTTGATTGTTCCGGAAGTGGGACCAAAAATGGGTATGAGCAATATATTTAATGATGTTCCTAGAAGCAAAGCTGATGTTTTTGCGATTATATGCTGTGTGTGTAGTATGACAGTGCAACTGAAATTACAATGCCAGAAACCATGAAGTTGCTTTCCTGTATTTGGGTCTATGATAGTAGATAGAGGAAATCATTCAGTGCAACAACATTCACATCTAGTAATATCACAGCTCCAAAGATTACCCTGCAGAAGAATTGCTTGTGTAGCTGCCTCTTGCAGCAAGTATTTTGTTTAGGGGGAGCGCACTGAAGAGTAGCAGAGCCGTTTTGTTAATGCTCTTCCCTTAGCCTGACTGCTACATTTAATCCAGTCCAAAGAGGCAGACAATGTTGAATTCTCAGTTAGGCTATGTATTGAAGTTTAAATAATCCAGCTGAGATTTCAAAGCCACTTCAGGGATATTTTTTGCCCAGTTCCCATTAATGTGAATGAGAATTGGATCTCCAAATCTGTTAGGCAGCTTTGAAGATCTCATTCTCAGTGCAGTAGCTGCAGACACATGCTGCTGCTTTGTTAATTGAAAGTTGCTAAGCTGATTTACCTCACTTGCGGGATGGGACTTTTCTTCGGTGTCAAATTAGATCTGTAGACAAGCAGATCACTCACAGGAGTGCTTTACCCTCCTTTCCCCTCCATCTCTCTTCTCAGTAATGTTTATTATGATTTGAAATCCATATCGAACAAGCTCTGGAAGTACAACCGGTACCGCTACATTATGACCTACCATGAGAAGCCGTGGCTGCCTCCACCTTTCATCCTCCTGAGCCACATTGGAGTTCTGATAAACCGCATCTTCCACCATCAGCCCCCAAATGAGCTGGATCAAGAGGAAGGTGACGTTGGACTAAGTAAGCAGAGCTAAGCTGGGAACTAAAAGAAATAGCTGATGAGAAATGTTTTGCCAGCCTCCCATCACTTTGTAGCTCAGTTCCTTGGGGGAAAAAAAAAAAAGATTCTCTGGGTAGGAGGCTGGTTTTGTTTGCAAAACTGAATTTAACCTGCCTGTCTGAGAACTCTTGTAGGAAAAGATGACTAGGGGAATGCTTTGCTTTGTATTTGGCTTTTGCTGTGCTACATACTGTGCACCAGTCAAGATACATCACAACTCTGGGCTGAAATAGAGACAGCAACTTATTCTATAGGAATGAATAGCCTTGTTTTGAAAGAAAACAAACGATACCAGAGGTATATATTTCTGTACATTTGTCGTGAAAAGACCAACAATTCCTTTTTAATTGCCCAAAGAAAGTAGCTGCTGAGCCTGAGGACAGAGGAGATCCAGTGGTGGCAGATGCAGAGAGAGTGTAGGGGTCTCCCACTTCCTCACTGCATCCTTCCCTTTGTGCACTGGCTCATCACTGCACCTTAGCCCACCTCCTTCACCCTTCCCAACCTGGACTTCTCCATCCCAGGGTCCGTCCTAACACCCTGTTAAGGCAATAGCAGTTCCCTGTCCCACTGTCACCAGCTCCTGCAGCTCTACCAGAAACAGCCCTAGGCATTGTGGGGAGGGGACCACGAGATACTGGTGTGGGAATGAATACTCATTAGTGGGGCTTGGTGGTGAGCAGACCCTGGGGCTTGCAGAGGTGAGCCGATGCTGCCTGGTTTATGCTTCATGTAGGATTTTTTCTGTTGAACATGAATAGCTGGAGATACCTGGCACACTCACAGGTGGTTACAGAGTTCAAAAATGGGCTTAACTAAGCAATGCTGAGCTGCTTTACTGCTGCTCCCAGGCTCAGCTTGTCCATCATGACTGGGTACATCAGCCTGCCTTTGAAGTACCACTGCCTATTTTATATGCATGCATAGTGTGGGTCACTGATGTAGCAAAGAGGGTGTCTTACTTATAAGGTACATTAGGCACAAGGAAAACTGAAGCACCACTTAGCGCATCTAAAAGTCCTTGGATAGAAGAGGCCTCATGCCTCGCCTACACTTCTCTCAGAAAGAGACTTTTTTCCGGTTTATGTACCTTTGTGTCTGTCCCTTTTCTATATGCCTATGCATTACTTGATAAGTTTCTTCGACTTAAATTTTGGTATGGTTATAATTAACTGATTTTAGCAATGAGGGTCCAGTGCCACCCTGTGGAAAATCAATGAAAATACCAAGATACAGAGAGTAAGATCTTGGAGGCCAGAACACAGATGGGTTAGTGGGGGAAAGAGCCTAGGAGGAGATCAGGTCTCATTCGGAGAGCGAGGGTGACCCCAGAACACTACTGGGGGCTTCCCTGCTGAGCTGTGTGTTGCAGCCGAGTGCTACAAGCTTGTAGCAAACAGTGGCCTGTAGCTTGGCGCAGATACCCCCTTAGCAAGTACAGTGAGGACTCTGGTATGTGGACAAGGAAAGAAAAAAGGAGTTTGCAAAGTGTGGAGTTTGGATCAGAGAAGCAGCTTTCCACAGTATGCATCTCTTCATACTGACTTATAATCAATCTATACTTTCAAAAATCTTGGTGCTAGAAGAATAGCTTCATGAGCAGCGCAAGCTGTGGAATTTTAAACTTTTGAAAGTGTTCTTTTTCACCTGGTAGTATTGCTTAATGTTTTATACATAGGAACATATGAAGCAATTAGGTGAAAAACAGCTTTGTAGCTTTGAGTACCTGGAAGGACTGTAATTGTTAAAGGTGACTAGCCCTAAGAGAATGCCTGGACCGAACTGTAGTGAAATCTTTGCAAGTCTTACGTATCCTATCTGTCTTGTGAGTCATACATGTATAACAAAATACAGGAAAAATTTAGGAGAAAATACATCTTGAGGAGCAGCCATTTGGGTATGTAGTTTCAAGGCTTTAAAAGGGAGTGCACTGGAATTTTGTCACTGTGGTTTTAATCTCTGTCTAAGGAAAGATGAAAAACATATTTATATGTATTTGGCATGCTGAGTCTTTATACTTAAGCCCAAATTCATGGAGTTAGGTCTGATTCATTCTCGTTAAGGGAAGGGGAGGAAACCAGTTCTGACAGTTTTATTTTTTTCTCATGGATGCTTACAAACAATTGCATTTGTCAGCACACTTCATACCGACTCGTGCCTCCTTTGTTCAGAGCTGTACCTGAGTGATGAGGAGTTAAAGAAACTCCATGACTTCGAGGAACAGTGTGTGGAAAAATACTTTCATGAGAAGAATGAAAGCCTGAGTTCCAGTGACAGTGAAAGGATTCGTCTGACAACAGAAAGGTGTGTTTTGCTGCAGATTTGTTTTCTTTGTGTATATTAGTCGTATAAAAAGACTTTGATAAGCTGATGCTTTTGAAGCAGGTTATGACCACTGTGAACATGAGGAGCCATAATGTGCATAGGCCTTGCTAATTTGATGGAAACGTAATGTATCTGTTTGAACTGCATGGCAGGCCTGGCTGGGAAGCCATGCTGGCAGAATTGCCTCCCCAGGTATACGCAGCGTTCAGGTGGTTAAAGGAGTACAGTAAGATGTTACTCAGTTGCACTTTTGCAGACCAGGTAGCACCACAAAAACATGCCAGTGTACAGCATAAAATACCTATATTTTTTTAAAGGCGTAGCAGTGTAGGAATGCTGTAAGGGTATTGCTTGTGATTAACTATATCTGCTGTGTACAGAAATAACTGTATAACCATTGTAGAGTTATCTGCAATGTAGTGTCTTGGTTTGCAAAATGTCGATACACAACTGTAAACGGGGCCCAGTTTAGCTTTTCATTGAAATCAATGGCAAAGCTGCCACTAAGTTTAATGGGAAGAGTTAAAGAAAGTGACTGCTATAAAAAGTCTTACTAAATGCCAATACTGATCTCGTCTAGTAGATTTATTTTGCTAGATAAAGATAGCCTCTTAATCTTTGCCTGTTCATAATCTTATTTTCTGCATACTAAAACAAAACACACAAGCAAAATGAATGTCCCCTGTAAAAGAAATGAAATAAGTAGCTTTGTTCAAAAGCTGTAGAATCGATTACAGCAATAAGATTTCATTTTGTGGATAAATACAGATCTGGAAAGGAATTTTTTTCTGAGTGCAGAGGTGAAACGCTTCACAACATGGCATAACATTAATTCAAGAAATTAGTTTAGATGAATAAATTATTTTGGAACACTGGTCTTTGATTTTATTCAGCTACTGGTTAAATACTACATCTTTTATTTACTCAGTGACAAAGGAAAGGAGCAACTTTTGCATATTGCCTGCAGTTAGTTTAGTGTTGTCTTAGTGATAGAGCACCACAGAGAGTATCTTCAGGAACCATGAAGATAATGATTTGGTTAAAATTGTATCATTCCAGGCCAAGAAGTTCTTGCACTGTTCACTGGGGTTTTGAAGACCATAAAAAAAGACTTTGCTTTTTGGGCAGTTGAATTTTAGCTGAAGATAACTGATGGCATCAGACATACAGAGTCTTCCCTGAGGCCAGATAGGTTCTTGGGAAGACCTTTCCCCCAACAGTCTCCAGTATCTGAGAAATACAAGAGTATCTGTAGGTTTATGTGAACACTGTCCTTCTCGTTCTTGCACAAGAAATGTAGAAATGCAGGATGACGAGCTGACAAGAAGTATACTTTACAACATTTTACATTTACAGCAATAGCCATTCCAAAGTTGTGTCCTGCTGTCCATGGTTTAGTAGTTCTATGGCAAGGAATGGACATTATTAAGAAAATAGCAATTTTTAAAATAGGTACTCCTTGATCTTGTTTTCCTTCCTAATCTGAATGACATGTTGTAAGTCTGAGTGGGTTTTATCAAATGTAGATATTCATAGAAATGGAAGTCACCATTAAAAAAAACATAAAGGGCTGTTTGAAACCCTGAGTTTTTGAAATGTGTTAACAGCTTCCTTCATTATCTGGTAAACAGAAGTAAAGATCTGTGTTTTGATATTTTAGTTATATTTTCTTTTTTCACCTAGAGTGGGGGAGATGTTTCTGCAGCTTAAAGAAGTGCATGAGAAAGTATTTTATATCAAGGAGTCTTTACTCTCCCTGGACAGCCAGCTAGGACATTTGCAAGACCTGTCTGCCTTGACAGTGGACATCCTGAAAGTGCTTTCAGCTGTAGACACCTTGCAGGTGGAAGAAGCATTACTGACTGACACAAAACATCAAACCTGTAGGAAGCTGCCCCATAGTTGGAGCAATGCACTATATTCCAAGACCTTGAGCAGCCTGGAGTGTCTGTATGACAAGAAATACAACTACTACAGCATGCCACCCTCCCTTTTACGGAGCTTGGTACGGAGTCAGTGGCCATCAGAGTGCAAAGACCACATACTCAGGACCGAGAGTAACAAGGTTGTAGAAGACAACTCACGAAAGATAGAAATAGAAAGTGACACACTCACTTCGGGAATATCCTCTGAGACTAAGTCAACCCCTAGATACGGACAATTTTTGCTGGTGCCCCCTGACTATCAGGGAGGCTCTTTCTCTGAGGATGCCACCTTAAATTTGTCCTTTTTGAGCGCTCCTGCCAAGTACAGGGACCATGCATTCAGAGATGAACTTCAAAGCAGCATTGTGGTGCAGCAAAACTTGCGGAGTGTAAACCTCATTGGAAAAGAGCCAGATTATCAATGGAGCCAGAGAGACTTTGTTATTCATTTGCCATCAGAAAAGTCTAATGTTGTAAAGGCTGATCATCCTCTTGGTCTCCAGCCATCACTGGATATTGAAGAGAGTCCAGCACCCTCCTGCGATGACAGGGAAGAAACTGAAGGTGGTTATGTGAACTGGGGATTCTCTGAAGGTGATGAGAAAGGTGTTTTCAGCTCAGAAACAAAGAAGGCGGCCCTGTGCATACGTTCCACCTGTAACAGTGACTGCAATTGCATGGGTAGTCCTCCCAGGCATGTCCAGATAAGAGAATCAAAGTCCTGCTCCTACAACTCTGACAGGTCGTGTAACGGTAGCATAATCTCTCAGAACAAGCTGAAACGCAGCGCCTCCTTCTGGATCAGCCCACTCTGGAGGGACTGGAGTTTCTGCAGGAGCAACAGCTTAGAGTCCCCTAAGAAAGACAAAAGAAGAAAAACCTGCAAGGCCATAGGTGGTAATTATAAAACACTACACCTGTACAGTATCTTTTACTAGGGAGCCCAAGACATTACAAAAATGTTTCCCTTGCACCCAGGAGGTATTAGCTGCTGTTGAGGGTAGTAGCAGAGTCCAGAGTTACTCCTTTGCTTGCTTTGTGCTGGGTCTGACTGCTGTAGGGAATTTCTGAAGTGTGCAGGGTGTCAGAGCTGTACCATACCTGTGTGTCAGCCACCCTGATTATCCCCGTCTCACAGAATTCATATGACTGTGGCTGCACAGCTAGGGTGACAGAGGGACTGTGCTCACTCTGGGGAAGTCTCCTGCCCTGGGAATGGAATGCAAGAGTTGCTGGACCCAAAATACATTACACAATTGCTAAGAGATATATTAGCAGTATCATAGGTCAGATGGATGCATGAAGAATGAAAAGGTATACATTTTTATAGCTAGTTTAAAACCCTCCCTGTCCGCCACCAAGTTTTCTCACCAACAGCTAGAATATAGCAGATTCCCATTCTAAGTATGAATAATATAAGATGATGGATAACATTTGTTGTTTTATATCTTGTGATGGTGCACATCTTGGCACTGAACTGCGTGAGTGTCAGCTTTGGGTGTCACAAGTCTTTCTCAGCTTGCTTTGGAGGTCTGCCAACTCTCAGTCTTATCAGATCTTCTCTTAGTAAACAAACCTCTATAGCTTAATGGAGTTTTTT